GACATATAAATGTTTAAAAAATTGACTTTTAGTAGAATCTAATTTTATATTTTTATATTTTTAAAAAATTTGTAAGCTTTTTTAATATTTTATTTTAAAACCGTCCAATTTTTTAAAAACTACTCTAGGTCCTAATTCAACTTTGATTTGCGGTTTAATAGTGGCATAACTCTTATCCAATTCAGCTCAATCAAGAAAATTATTTTTAGTCCAAATCGAGTCGTTAATGATGGCTTCAGTCGATAGTTATAGGTACAAATGTATATACTTTGACTCTACTCATATCTAATTTAACCAAGATTCACTTATATTTAACAAGTTATAAAATTATAATTTATAATATTCTTAATTTATGATATTTTATTAACATACTATAAATTTTTTTCTTATATTTATTTTATATATACATTTAATATTATCATAATTTTATATTTATATATACCACATTTAATATTATTGTAATTTTATTTTTATTTAATTTTATAATTTTTAAATGGTGAGAAAATATTACTCCTTTAAGAATAGTTTATGAGCAAAATTACACATTAACTCATAAAAAGTAGGTCCCACTAGCTACAATAATGGACATTTTAACAGAGAGGGCAATATTACTCTGATTTGATTAGTTTAGGGACAACGTTACTTTTCTAAAAATAATTTGAGGGTAAAATTACACATTAATCCTAATTTTTAGCATTAACGTATAATAGAAGTTACAAATCTTCATCACATTTTTTAAAATTACAAATTAAAAAAGGTATGAATAATTAGAGATCAAATTTTTAGTATTATAAATCAAATTTATGTTATTTAAAATCTTTATCATATTTTTAAATATTTCAAATGTATTATATTTGTATAATAAAAATTACAAATAATCATAATCAATATTTTTTGGTAATTGTACATTCAAAAGCACATTTTACTATCATAATTCAAATAATTTTCAATTTATCAAATTAACTTTTAAAAAAATATATCTAAAATAAATTTTATTACAACAACTAACTTTTACTAAATTAATTTTTCCTAAATGAACTTTCAAGTTTAACAAATAAACTTTTAACAAATTAAAAATCAAATACATACTTAAATGTAGAAGTTAGTGATAAGTTTGGTTCAAATCTAAAGGCTAAGCCTGACTGGCTATTTGGTTTTTGGTTCATCAAAAATCAAGGGTAACATAGTCAGTTCAAAAGTTAGTTATACATTTGACTCTCTCATTAATACTTTATCCTTAAATTTGCTTTTCAAAAAACTACTACATGCATGTTTGGTTTTTTTGTTGACCAAAAGTTAGTTTGTCAAAATTTTATTTGACAAAAATCAGCCTAGTAAAAGTCAATTATCATAAATTTATATTTAAATATATTTTTTTAAAAGTTAATTTGGTAAATTGAAAGTTGTTTAGATTATATATAGTAAAAATGCTTTTAAATGTATAATTATCAAAAAGCACATTAATTTATAATATTTGTAATTTTTGTTATACATATGTAATACATTAGAAAATTTTAAAAATGTGATAAAATTTTCAAATAACATAAATTTGATATGTTAAATCATAAGAATAAGACATATAATATTGATATATTAGAAAAATTATATAATAAATAGTTTCAATATATATTAATATTAAAAACTAACATGATTAATTGTTTAATTTTTTGGTTATAAATTAATTATTTAATTTATAATATATAATCTGGTCTCTAGATTCAAGTGAAAACAAGCATGTAATATATACTTTAAGAAGGTGCTGACACGCAAGAAAGTCAAAAATTGGAGCTCAAGCTAATGGATGCGAAGGAATAAAGGCAATATGGTGGATTAAAAATTACAACACTATAAAGTCATATGAAAAACTTCAATTATGTGAGTCTTCAAATTCACTTTCAATGACATTCAAAAAGTTAATTTATCCAATCATAAAACTAAACAAGCAAGTTAAAAGTTGATTCTTCAAACAAGCTCTAATTGTAAGATTTCAATCTTCTTTATTTTACATATTTATTATTTTTTTAAACTAACTATTTTCATTGCAAACATTAATGTATGCAAATCAATAGAGATAGGTTCCAGTGTAGTAAATGATTAAAATGAGAGGTATTTTAGAAAACTAACACACATTTTTTTATAATAGCTAACTTGACTAATTTTCTTAATTTGTATGAATTAATTATCTATATATTGTCCTATTTATATAACAGGGAGAGAAGAATTCTTTGGCTATATTTGTAAGACATATCATTGATTTTTTATCATAATTTACTGCTTTTCCCTCTATTAAATATTGATGAGAGAAAATATATCATTAAAGTATTTATATTTTTTACCAACATTAAAGTAGTGTATTAATATGAATGAAATTGAAAATTTCTTAAATTTTTGGATAGAACCAATAAGTTTGAAGTTTTCTTTGATGATTTGATAAAATATATTGAAAGTGACTTATAAATAAAACTCAAAAAAGTATTTTATTAGTTTCTTTTTATAAAATAAAATTACTTAATTTATATATACTAATAATAAAACAATTTTCTTAACAAATTATCAATGGGTTGGGTTTAGGGGAAGGGACTAATCCTTCACAATATAGTGAACTAAATCTTCATTAAAAGATGTGCTCATATTTAGCGCCCAACTGTATTCCAAACAAACTACCTCTAATAAAAGAATGCATGCATGTGAGCAATTGAAAAAATAATAATTTTGAATAATTTATATTGTAATTTTTTTTCATCTTTCTACTTCCACCCTCAATTAATCCTTATTGCTTTTCGACATGGACAAATATTTTTAAGGAGAACAATAACTAGGTCCCAAAATACTAAATAATGACAATTAGATATCCAACAAATTTTTTACAAAATGAATTGTAAATATCAATTCAAACAATTATAAACAAAAATTTATGTTATAATATTAGAGTTATATTTGATAGTTAAATACTTATTTACAAATAAAATTCCTAGATTTATGATAATATAGATTGGTATTTTTAACTAATTTTTTTAAAAAAATTAAGGACTTAACTTCATTAATTTTTGTTCTAAGAACCAACTATCATTCTCCCATCTTTTTATTCATTGATTAGAGGAATTTAAAAAAGTTAATTAAAATGTCTTTACATAGTAGTATATACTCCCTCTGTCCCTATGTATAAAATGTTTTTAACTAAATTATTCAAATCAATAAAAGTTAGTTATCTAATCAAAAGCACAGTAATATTTCAATTTTACTTCTAATTATTGTAAATAAAAAATAAATCTCTTTTTTCAAAATAAATTAATAAAAGTACTTATTTTTTCTCTTTTCAATTTAATAAGGGTGTTATGGTTCACTCATTAAAAAATATGCTAACAATCTCTTATATTTAGGAATGAAAAAAAGTTCAAAAAAATTCTTATATATAGAGATGGAGGGAGTGTAGAAACATCATAGTTAGGAGTGGGGAGATGGTAGTATTAACTAGCCATGGTAGTCCACCATTGAACCAAAAAACCATATTTTAATACATTGAATCAACATAAGCTTGAAAGAGAGTTAGGTATTATACTAGGAGAGATACCTACATTTAATGCCAAATCATACCTCAAACAAGATAAAACTTGTATGCAATTAAAAAAGAAAAATAAAAAGAGTGAGGTATTTTGACATGCCTATCATATGTATCTTTCTCTTCTTAGCTCTCCACCAATGCTCTAAATTCACCTGAAGAGAAACTAAGTCAAAGAATAACACACTGTGTGAAAGTTAGAATCGACCAAGATTTGAAAATTGAAGTTAAGGTAAATGTTTATGACAGTGACGAATTTATGTTGAGATAACTTTTTTTTTATATACGTTAGTTTAACAAATTGAAACTTGTTTGGATGGTGTGATTCAAAAACAAGTTTAAAGTATAATAACAAAAAGGACATAAATTTTATTATATTTATTTTTTATGACTAATTTGAACTTTGTAGAAAATAATGTTAAAGTTTAAATTACAATTTTTTAAAAAAAAGGTAGAATAAAAAAACTTTAAAAGGTACAATTTTTTACAAAAATGCCCTAAAAGTTTTTTTTGAAGGAGCGGTGAGTACCTTTACAATTTCGAAGGAGCAACGATGCCCTAGAAGTATAAAAAATAAAGCAATGTCGGCCTACTCTGTTAACAGACCAGCATTGACTAACGAATTGCCAAAATGGCATGAAGACTTAATTTGAAAGGTGACATTATTTTTATTTTGAACCCTAAAATGAAGAAAAAGGGTCACAAACAAAGACAAATGCAAGGAGGTGTAGATGAGGACTTTAAATCTCATATAGCATTGTTGAATAAAGGAGAAAAGTCAAGATGTGCTAGGGCAAGAATGATTTTGGGGCAAGTGAGCTCAGATTCCTATCGAGCTATGAAAGAAAGGACAAAGTAGAGATTCAGTGTTGACTTTTAGTTATGAAATCGAATCTTGCTAAATAGACATATATGAGGGTGACTTTTTTATATGCCTCTTCACAGTGAAATTGCATTGTAGCCCTTGACTTAGTGCTCCATTTTGTCTTAATCTAGGATAATTAATGTAAATGGAAAACCATAATATGGTGGACTAGTCATATGTAGATGATTTATTAAAGGAATTTGAAGAAAAAGAAAAGGCTCGAATGAGAGGGGATACAAGACAATCACTGAAGAGATTAAAGCGCATGATCCATAATGTTTTAAAAATAAAGTTGGAGGGAATCAAGGAAATGAAGGTAAGGAATCCCAAATAGAGAAAATGAATATAAAGCCAATGTTAAGGAAATCATGAACATAGAGACATTATCTATTTAGCTACCACCAGGGTATGAGTCAGATAATGTGATCATTAGTGCAGAGGAATTAGTTAACATTAAGGGGATGAGTTTAAAGCTAGTTTGGAGGGTGTTAAGATGAAGAGAATAAGAAAGCATTTGTAGATAGGGAGGAAGCTCATGTTTAGAATGAAAAAACATCTCTTGAGACTGATGTAAAGTTGTTGGTGATGATAATGGGGAGAATGATGGTCTAAGTCTGAGTGATTTTGAAAGTAAGCTATTAAACAATGGGGATAAGGACTTTAATTTTAGAGGGAATGATGAAAATGGTTCTGAAGAGGATGATGACAGTAGATATGAGGAGGAGAAATTGGATAATAATTTAGGCCCAATAAATGATGATGGGCCTTTAGTGGATGAGAAGGACCTCAAGATGAAGGCAAATCCTTTTTTATAGTTGGTCAAACATTTGCACAAAAGCAAGATGTTCTTACAACTATTGATAAGTATGCCATAAATGTAGGGGTTAAGTTGAAGCTCATTAAAAGTGAGCCTCTAAAGTTAAGGTTGCATGAGTGAAGACTTGTCCTTTTCAACTATATGTATCCAAAGATGGAAGAAACCCAAGCCTAAAGCTAAAAACCCTATGCTTAGAGCATAGATGTTATGGATTTTCAAGAACTCAAGAGCTTCAGCATAGTAGCTAGCTTTTACTTTAGGAGGAAGGTGTAAGAGAGACCTTAATACAAAATTAATTAGTGACATGAAGAAGGATGTTAACGAAGACTTGAAGTTGTATGTTAGCATTTTCAAGTATAAAAAGGCCAAAAGAATGATTATGCAAGAAATGGAAGGGAATTATAAGGATGAGTTCAATAATCTCAAGAAATGGAGGTATCTAGTTAAGTACTTTCATGTCTATTATGTTTATATTTGATGTCTCTTATGCTCTTACAGTATTTTGTTGATTTATCGGAGGGGTATAAAGCTAGTTGCAGGCCTATAATTGGTCTTGATGGGAACTTTTTGAAAGGCAATGCTCATGGGATGATCTTGACAGCTACCGATATGGATGTTGATGATGCTATATACCTAATCACCTTTAGTCTCATAAAAAAAGAGAACACTATAATTGAAGGTGGTTTCTTCTATGATTACAAAAGTCATTAGATCTTGAAGATAGAGGTCATATAATAATCATGTCCGACATGTAAAAGGTTTAACTTACTCACATTGTACATTATTTTGTTAACCTTTAATCTTTAAAGATAACTAATTAATGGTTCGGTATAAGGATTGATAGTGGCTCTTCATGAGGTATTACCTGAGGCTAAGCATAGACTATATTCCAAATATGTCTACGCTACTTGGAGCAAGTAATAGAGAGGGAGGTATGTTAATAAAGAAATTATTTGCCTATACATGGAGCACATTTGATGAGCAATTTAAGGACAACTTGAAGCAACTTGGAGCACTTAACAAGAAGACTGTAAAGGTAATTATCTCTTATCCTCCATAAGCATGGCTAAAGGCTTATTTTAGTAATAGGTGTGTGTCTTAGAAAGTTGATAACAATATAAGTGAAAGTCTCAATACATGGTTTGATAACTTTGGGTATGTTTAATGGGATTAGATTGAAGTTTATGGCTAGGTAGGTTGAGGCTGGAAAAAATGTGAGCAAATAGAATGATAACTTTAGCCCTCAATGTGTAGAATTATTTAATACAAATAGAGACTTAAGTAGTATGAGTTGTAGGGTTTTCTTTAATGGAGGTGAAAGGTATGAGATAACTAAGAGAGATTACTAGCATACTGTGTATCTAAATCTAAAAAAAATGCACTTGTAAGGTATGAGATTTGACTGATATCCCATACCAGCATGCTATTTGTGCATTTTACCATGCTAAGATCAACCCATCTATTCAAATATCTAGGTATTATCACATAGACACCTAGCTAGCTAGTTATAGTACAAAGTTTATTAAGAGACTTGAGAACATGGAACCACCTCAATTGTGTAACATGCTAAGTAGGCTAAAGAGAAAGAGGGTCAGGAACAAGGAAGCTAAGAGGAGAAAGAAGTCAGGTACTTTAAGTCAAAACCTACATTTTGCAAGTAGAAAAGACATGCCTCCACCAAGGCCTAAAATTAAGTAAGAGAAGATAGCATGGCAAATGTATGATATGCCACCAAGAAGGACACAATAAGGTGACATGCAAAGATGTAATCACTTAACTTGACTATTTTGTTTTAATGATTTTTGTTAATAACTTGTGATATGTGAATATGTGGATACCTCAATCAAGCAATACCTCTTCCAAGAAAAAGAAGACTAGCCAAGGTTCTAAGATACTAGCCTCTTAACCACCTGAGAGCTAAATAACTCAAGAGTCTCAAGCTAATGCAAGACCACGTGGAGGAAGGGCATTCTATAAGGCTAGAACTAAGAATGGCATAGGAATTATGGTTGACCCAAATATTAGAAAGACAGTGTATAAGTGGTGCCTTTATTGCTCATGTTGCAGTTTTGTTCTATATGCAATGTTATTCATTTGTCTTGTATTTTGATTTGTGAAATCTTTTTGTGTAGTATGGTATTAGAGGTTGTTATCAATAAGGGTACTATAAAAGAGTATATTCATCATAGTGCTGACCCAGATACTAGGTTTCCTATCCCTAATGAGAGGAAAATGTGAAGGGAAACCATCTCTAGTAGTTCATAGCAAGGATCGAATCAAAGGTATAGGAAGATAAAATCACAAGGTGATGGAAGCACTGTACATGTACTCCACTAAGCTCATGTGTAAAGGAAACCAAGCAATTACAAGGTCAATGCTTGAAGCTCAAAAGGAAAGGATGATTGGAAAGAAGAAAGCCAATACTAGTAGAGGACTTTAAGCTTCATGTCTTTTTTTTTTTTAATGTTCGCACTTACAATTGTTTTGTAGCCATATTGTATGATGGAACACATAATCAAGCCACTTGTCTTTTCTTTTGTAGCCCTCTCGTATGACACAATGCATGTATATGGCAGATCAATATATGGCTGCCTTTTCTTTTAAATATTTTGTAACTTGAAAATATGCTTAATTAGAGTACTTCATGGCAAAATATGACTACCTTCTTGCATACTCTTGTTGCATTAAATTAGTGATATGATTAGTTTATGGTAGATTTGTATATGTCTACTATAATAAGATCTTTCATAAAGAGAATGCAATTAGATCCATTTAACATTGGTCCACAACTATCACATACAACCTCTTAAACATACTTTCTATTTGGAATTAATATACCTAATATACCCATTAAATACAATCTCCTAAATAAATTTACAAATGAAAAAAACCTAGCTCAAAAGCAGCATAACCATATACCAACTTTAGTTTCTTCTTCAATAAACGAATATGGATTTAATTCCTTTTGCTTTTATTCTAAATTTTCTCCACATCAAGCTCACTATTGTCATGTAATTTGCTATGCCTTTCATTCCTATCATACAGCTTATCAACATGAGCAACCAGCTCGTTGATCACCTCCCTTGACCTCTTACCCATTTCATCATCATGCCAAAAGAAAAACCCGCAACCTCTCCCCATAAATCACCCAAAATTAACAATGGAATATGAACAAGCAAGGATGAAAAAGATTGAATACTCACCTAGTAAAATTTTAAGCAGCCATAAAATCTCCTACCTAGATTTGAAAACTAAAGTTAAGGTAAACGTTTATGAATGTAACGGATTTATGTTGCAATACCTTCTTTTTTATAAGTCAGTTTGACAAATTAAAACTTATCTGAATGATATAATTCAAAAGTCAGTTTAGGTGTATAATGATAAAAAAGACATAAATTTTATGATATATATATTTTTGTCATTAATTTGAACATTTTAGAAAATAATATTAAACTTTAAATTACAATTTTTTTAAAACAGGACAATAAAAAATATAAAATAAATCGAAAATTAAAAAATCTTAAATTTTAATACACAGAATGGAATGATAAATTACAAAACATTCAATTCTAAAAAACTAAAATAAATTGATAAATTACAAAATATTTTTTACAAAAAGCTAAAACAAGATGATAAATTCTAAAATATTAAATTCTAATTTTTTTAACAAATTGATAATATTGTATAACTAATCATGTCTCATCCAATTTAATCTCTAATTATTACTGTAATGTAATGCCTAGAAAAGAGCCTCATTTATTAAAGAAAAAGAACAAAAGAAGATGATGGGTCTTGGTGTGGATCTCATTAGATCATCCCATTTAATGGGCCCCAAGAAAAGAGTTGCTACCCAAAGTAAATCAAATAATCCAACTCTCAGTTGAGATGCAAAACAAACGCAACTGAAACTATTTATCTCCCGCATTCCCATTTCCAAATATCACGTCTTTCTCCTCAAAATACTTGTTAAGCATGAAACCCTAACCAAGTTTGAGATACTAATATCATAATATTATAGTCCATTGTCATTAAATCATTCCTTTAATTTCCTTTAACCATGTTGACCCTACTGAGCTTGAAATTCCTCATAATTAAGATTATTGCACTGAAAAAAGTTTGAGAAAATCTTAGGATAGTTGGGTGGGTGATTGACTCAATTGCATTGTTGGTGAAGAGAAAGCGAAGAAGAAGACCTCACATGCAACAAAAGCAACAGAAGTTTCACGCACTCAAGCCATGATCTGGTTTTAACGTGCTTAAACCAAACAACACATCGGATGCAACAAAAGACACTGACATACGGCAATTTTTGTTGCTCATTGTTGTGTCTTTTTTTCTTTCTTATTTTCTTGCTTTATTTTTAATTTTTTTTTAAGTCCAATTCAAATTGGATATTTGTAGTCTCCTCTTTTACGTAGCTTTGTTAGCTCCAAGTAGTTCAATTAAAATAATACTGATCGATAATTTAACTGGCATTTTTAATCACCATCAATAATTCAATATTAATATACACACACACTATAAATATAGATAATATAGTGCCAAGAAAAGTTAATCTAATTAATAAGAACCCAATTCATATTTTTGTCTAATGTCATATTATCTCTCCAAATCTCAAGACACTAAGACCACTTTCAACTAAATTACTCCTTCCATCCTAAATTATAAAGCACTTTTGAAGGATTTTTTACTCTAAAATATAAGATATTTTTTATATTAAGGTTTCATTAAATGCAGTAATTTTAATATTATCCTTTCTCTCTTTATAATTAATTTTTATCTCTTCTCTTTTTAATATATTAAATTATGGACATTTTTAAAAATTTATATTTTTATTTTGAAAATATAAATTGTTAAGTGCATTTTATTAGATTTATTGATATGTGATATTTTATCTAAAAGTGTCTTAGAATTTAAAATAGAATAAGAACTACATATATAAAAGAGAGTTTTTTTTTTTTTTTTTTGCCAAATCCATTTATAAGGTTCAAGAATGTAGCATTTGACGCTCCTACATATGTCTTGGGCCGCGTTTATATTAAACTTTAACATTTGGGCTACGATCGGCCCAAGGTGAATTATCGCACAAGGACTTATATTCCATTGGTGTACATTATGCAAAATGAAATGGATTGTTGTACTTTTATTATGATAGGAAGATCTTGAGTTGGAATTCGAGAATATTCTTGACAAAGTTAGTTTTAATTGGCCCGGCAATATTTGAATATAACCTAACCAGATATTCATATTAAAAAAAAAACAAAGAAATAGTGCTTGCCTTATTCTTTGAATCCGTGTAATAAAATATATGAGAATGTGTGTAGAATTTGTTGTTAATTTTTATCTTTTTATATAATATACACGAATTTATTTATCACATGGCATGTAGAATTTTCCGTCTCTTCTTCCATGTCTTTTAGCTATCTTCTATTTTTTGTAAGCATTCAAGTAAATCTTTTTCATATCTATCGTCCCCTTCAAAAGTCAAAATTTAGACTTGGATTATCCGAATTAGCAGCAATATTCTTTAAATATAAGAAGGTTCATTAGACAATTTGTTCTGTTTTTCTCTAAATATTTTATTTTTTTAATAACATGAATCAATAAAAAGTAGACATTCAACGGGATTAAATTTAAATTATATTAATTATTAATTTCAACAATCTAGAGATTTATTTAAAATTTATTCCCATCATTTATAGTCTATGCAA